TTCTGAAATCAGCACCTTTTGAAGTTTGCATGAAATTGGCTAAATTGCTAATTTCTGACCACTTTATTGAGTAGTTGAAATCAGTAAATGGGCAGTTTCTTGAACTCAATCGATAGAACAAATGGAGCTCTAGAGAAACAGCCATGAGTTTGGATGATGGAACAATGGAATTGGTCGAAAACAGGACTCAAAGTGGGTGAAATCGCGATGCATATATCACCAAGACCGCTAACTTCACAAGTGTAATTCCATAAGTTTTCCATCAGATATTGTACTTTTGGTGTCATTACCATTGGAAAAAGATTCTCTATCACTTCATAATTTTTTTTTTAATTCTTCGATACTTGAGAGCAAGTTTGTGAGCAGGGGTCTTGACAGTGAAAGGGTTAATGTATTTACTGTTATCCCACTTCACTGGGGTGTTCTGCATCATGTGCCATGCACGCCCATAATTTCAGAGTGCAGATTTGGAAACAGTGCTCTCCTGCAACTTCTCTTGGTAAATTATACATTTTTCTCAATTAGATATGAAAGAATGGGTCTGTGCAGTGAGGGTACACAGTACTGCCTCTCCTCACTTAATGACGGAGTTCAGTACCTAAGACTACATTGTTACACGAATTCGTTGCTAATGGTGGTGAGTTTGTGTCAACCATTTTTTTTATTGTTTTAATGTCACCTTCGCACCATTTATAACATTTCTGGTGCATTTATAAATGTTTATACAGAAGTGTACTGTACATACAGTGGAACTCCGAGTTTCATACGCCCTGACTATCGTACGCTTCGAGATTAGAACCGTTATTTTGGCTCAATTTTGACCTGAGTTTCGCACTGTGCCCCATGTTTCATCACGGGCACCAGACCTGTCCACCTGCCCACGCAGTCACGATCAGTGTTGCTTAGTTTCTCAAGTGAATATAGACATTTTCATTAATCCATCTATGATATTTTCTTTAAAATTATATAAGAAACATGTTACATAGCACAGTGGACCCTCATTTTTCGTAAGGCTCAAAAGTCTGTAATTTTCAGAAATCATAACTTTTTTTCATCAAAACACTGACTCGCAAATCGTCGTTTAACTCGCAAATAGTTGTTCGTCTGGGACGCATACGCACGGCTCCGAGCCACCTCACACTTCATTCCCAGCCAGTGTGCCATTGTTTATCAGTGAGTGAGGATGATCTCACAAGTTCATACGATACATTTCATAATATTCCATTCATTTTAGTGCTTGCAACTGCTAAATAAGTTACCATGGCTCCAAAGAAAGCTTCTAGTGCCAGCCCTTTGGTAAAGAATGTGAGAAACACACACAATTTAAGAAGAAGTTTGTAGAAAAATACAAAAGTGGTGGTGGCAGAGTGGTAGCAGTTGTGATAGTGGTAGATGGTGGTAGCAGTTGTGATAGTGGTAGATGGTGGTAGCAGTTGTGATAGTGGTAGAGGGTGGTAGTGATGGTGGTAGGTGGTGGTGGTGATGGTGGTAGCAGTTGTGATAGTGGTAGAGGGTGGTAGTGATGGTGGTAGTGGTTGTGATAGTGGTAGAAAGGGGTAGTGATTGTGGTAGAGGGTGGTAGTGGTTGTGATGGTGGTAGAGGGTGCCTTCTTCAGTGATTCAGCAATTCTACTAACTCCTCCAATGTTGTTGGAGTTATATAGGGCTACAGAAAACACTGGCACCTCGGCTGCTGCTTCACTAACATTACGGACAGTTTATGCTTTCAATGGCCCTTATACACCCAACAACAATACAACACCTCTTGTGACATACATAATGACTTATTTTATTCATTCTAGAGTATATTCCATGTTTCTATGTTATTAATATTGTTTATTATGTAATATTAGTTGAATTGTGATAGATAAATAAGCCGTAGAGTTGATATTAGTGTCATATTCTCCAACAATAAACTCACCTCCCCTTCCTCTGCCCTGTCTGCCATACACCAACAAGAGTCTTCAATAAAGGTAAGTGTGATGTTAAGTGTTCATTTATACATTTTATTAGTGCTTTACATTTATTTGGCATTCTTTTCTGCATGTAAATATATATTTAACCCTTAAACTGTCCAAACGTAGATCTATGGTTTTTCAACATTTGAAAATATATAAAAAAAGTAGATCTTCTTTTCTTTTTTTACATTTGAAAACATGTAAAAAAAAACTTTGATCTACATTTTTTTTTTTTTTATATTTGAAAATATGTAAAAAAACGTAGATCTACTTTTGGAGCACTATGCATGTGAACATAGATCTGCTTGGACAGTTTAAGGGTAAAGCTAGGGAAGTGACCCTTGAAGTGACCTAGAGTCCCTATGGAGGGGGATTCCCCTTCCAAACAGTAATCTCTCTTCCCTCTCTCCTCCTCCATGTCTTCCATTCATCAACAACAGCCTTCAATAAAGGTAACTGTCATGTTGAATGTTCATTCTTTTGTGCATGTAAATCTATCTTTAAGGTAAAAAAAAAAATTTTGTTGATTCTTCTGGGTGTCTGGAACGAATTAATTGGATTTACATTATTTCTTATGGGGAAAATGGATTCGGAAATTGTCAATTTCAATAATAGTCACTCTCTCTGGAACAGATTAATTACGAAAAACAAGGGTCCACTGTATATATAAAAACATGCAATGTTTATATGCGATGTCTGTTTAATAATAATCACTCTTGGAGACATTGAAATGAACAGAATAGAGGAAATCAGCTCTAATATACATTATATAGGTATAAATACTGATGAGAGCCCATCATAAGTCCGAGGCGTCGGTAAACAAGTACGTACGTTGCTAAGTGAGGAGAGGCTGTATACCTTTGATATACCTTTGAAGAGCTTTGAGAGTTTGACTATTCTTGGAGCCTAGCCATGGTCCAGGCTCATTCAGTGCTTGCCTGGTCAACCAGGCTGTTGCTGCTGGAGGCCCGCTGTGGTCCTGGCCCATGTGATGCATAATGGAAAAAACAAAAATGCAACCATGTGTTTGGTGAAAAATAGCACATCTGAGGTGATTTCTTGGATGGTTTTCATAGATGTATTGACTGTTTCTTCATATCATTTAATAAAATGAAAGACACTACTGAAATAGATATGACAGTGATTGATCTCAGGATTGTAAGCAGCATGAAACCTACCTGGAGTTTACCTGGAGAGAGTTCCGGGGGTCAACGCCCCCGCGGCCCGGTCTGTGACCAGGCCTCCTAGCTCAAAGTAGTAGAAATATTTGATTTTTGCCAATATTCCAGAGGTTTTAATAGGTTTTATTTAATTATTGGGACACTGTAAACCTGGTTATATTTCATTATCCGAGAAATAGTGCAAATCTTCTAGTCTGTATGAATAAAATTCAAAATGGAAGGGAAGTGTAATATAGGAGAGGCCTAGGCATATGACTGAAAACCAGAGGAATTGTTGTTTTAGTGACAGGTCTACAGTGTTTATTATAGACTCTATATATTTAACCCTCTGAGGGTCCATCCAGGAGTTCTACACCTTGTCCACAGGGTCCAAGAATTTTCAAAAAACTGTTTTGATATTTTTCTTATGAAATGGTAGAGAATCTTTTTCTGAAGGTAATAAAACAAAAAGTACAAAATATGATGGAAATTTGAAAAAAATTACGCTATCACAAATTTTGCTACGTCAGCGATATTTATGAATCAGCGATTTTGCCCATTTTGACTCCTATTTTAGGGCCAATTATATTATTCCATTCGACCAAATTCTTAGCTATTTTGCTAGTATCACTTCTATTTTATCGACTGAGCACAAGAGACTGCCCAATCATCTATTTCAATTACCCAATAAAGCAATCAGAAATTGGTAATTTGGCCAATTTCACACAAAGTTCAAAATATTCCAATTTCAAAAAAGGATCCAGAATAAACAATGCAGGCATCCCTGGCACTAAAATAACATTTCCTCTGTTTATTAGTTGCATTTCCAGACTACACATGAATTCCATTTTGATGTTCTTTTCATATAAAGAATTTTTATTCACACCAAAAAATAGATTTACTTTTATGCAATATTGTAATAATTGTATAAATAATATCACCACATTCGTGAATGCACATTATACCCCCAGCTGATGTGTATTGGATGCATGATATAATTTGTTTACTCTTGAACACTGGCAAAAATCGAACATTTCTGCTACTTTGAGCTCAATTTCAAGCTATTTTCAGTACTAATCAAAATCATTTCAATTTCTGTAATATATATTCAATTCTATCAAATGAGACCATAAAAACCATATGAAAATACACTGCAAAATCGCTGTTTTAATCCAAAAACATGATCGCAGTTTTTTTCTCATTATGCACTGCATGCTGCAGGATTTGTTTTATATGGTGCACACTTACCACATAGATGCATTCTCTCGTATCTAGGCCCAAATTTACCGCTGACAGCTCATCTGAGTATACTTGGAGTATACCTAGAAAGGGTTTCAGGGGTCAACGCCCCCGCAGCCCGGTCTGAGACTAGGCCTCATGGTGGATCAGGGTCTGACCAACCAGGTTGTTACAGCTGGCTGCACACAAGCTGACGTATGAACCACAGCCTGGCTGGTCAGATACCGACTCTTGGTACCTATCTAGTGCCTTCTTGATGACAACCAGGGGTCTATTGGTAATCCCCCCTTATGTATGCTGGGAGGCAGTTAAAGTCTTGGGCCCCTAACACTTAATGTGTTGTCTCTCAGTGTACTCATGATGCCCCTGTTTTTCATTGGGGAAATGTTGCATCTCCTTCCAAGTCTTTTGCTTTCATAGGGAGTGATTTTTGTGTGCAAGTTTGGTACTAATCCCTCTACGTCATGAGTTCAGCTTATGACATAGTTCTACAGCTTGGACCCCGGCTTCAAAGCCGTAGAACTATGGGACGGACCCTTAAAGGATTTAAAAGAAAAATGCAGTTCACAAATGAATCCTTGAATAATCATTAAAAGAACACTTCTCAAGTAAAAGACTATGTAAACTTGTATGATGAACTTACAGGTGTAAAGACTTCACTTGTCTTGATAAGCGTAACAACCTGAATCAGTGATCCAGGTACAACAATCTTCTGAGTGATGAACTGCTCACCCTCTCTCTTGCAACTGTCCCTCCAAGCTTGGCTCTTAACCTGAAGTGAAAGAGAACACAATATTAATTTTAATGACACACTGGCAGAGAGGCACAAAAAGAAGGACACATTCAACTGCTGCCTTGCTAGAAGTGTACTGACATCACAGTTCAGACAGCCCTAAATCCTAATTCAATTTATCTTTTGAAAATAATAACTATATGATGGGTCTTTACATTGATCTAAGAAAAGCTGTGATGCAGAGCACAAAATCCAACTGCTTAAATGAGAACATAATAGGAGAGACTATGCTCTTATATATATAATCTTACCTTAACAACATCCCATGAACCATCATACATCCACTAATGACACTACATCAATTCAACCTATGAACAAAGGGGTAGGCCAGGGCAGTGTCCAAGACCCTCTGCTATTTCTCATTTACATCAATGACCTTAATGCCTCTCAGGAACTTAATCATAATGTTTGTTGAGGACACAATTTTTACATCCAAATCCAGTCGTCCTCAACAACACTGTCAATCAAGGTTCCCAACCTGGGATATTTTACCCCAAGTGGGGTAATTTTTTCTTATCCATGAGGTAATGGATAACTAAACATCCAAATACAGTTATTCAAATTCAAATTCAAAGTTTATTCTCTATAAGGATTACAATGCTGAGTTTACAGAATTTGGTTACTGTGTGATTTATATGTAGTAAAATAATAATTATAGAGGGTACCACTAGAACACCTAGCATGGCTAGGCATTTCGGGCAGACTTAGATTAATTCTTAAATTTAAAATATTACAAATTATGAGGTAAGTTGGAATTATGGCTAAGTGACTAAATACTAGTTTGTGAGTTTAGCAATGTGAATGCTTTTGTTTTGGCACAATACATAGTTTCAGTATTGGAGTATCACAGGCCAACTTATGACTAGTAAGTGTGAACCACCAGGTGGTATTCGTGTAATTAGTTGATGGGGTGTATCAGGGAGATAAGATGTTTTCTAATGGTAGTTTTGAAGGTGATGAATGTGTCTGCAGTTCTAATGTTTTCAGGTAGGGTGTTCCAGATTTTAGGGCATTTGACATACATTGAATTTTTGTAAAGGTTTAGTCAGACACGGGGAATGTCAAAGAGATGTTTGTGTCTGGTGTTATGCCTGTGGGTTCTGTCACAACCATCAAGAAAGCATTTTAGGTCAAGGTTAATATTGGAATTTAAGATCCTGTAGATGTAAATTGCACAGTAGTAAGTGTGGATGTACTGAACGGGGAGTAAGTTTAGATCTATGAAGAGGGGGGGGGTGTGTTGCCAGGGATGGGATTTTAGTGATTATTCTTACTGTGGATTTTTTTGGGTTATTATTGGTTTTGGGGTGTTTGCTGCAGTTGATCCCCAAGCACAAATAGCATAGGAGGTATGGATAATGAAGTGAGTGGTATAGTGTGAGAAGGGCATTTGCGGCATGTAGAAATTGTATCTTGGAGAGGATCCCAACCATTTTGGATACTTTTTTGGTTTATGTGTTTGGATATGGGTGCTAAAATTTTCAGGTTGTTGTCGAGGTATAGGCCTAGGAATTTTGCCCTCATTATGTCTGGCAATTAGATGTTGTCGATCTTAATTTTTAATTTGCACAGCTCCTGCTCTCTACCAAACAAATATAGTAGGTTTTTGTCAGTGTTAAGCGAAAGGGTTTATTGGCTGTCATCCAAGTCGCTATTTTGATCAGCTCCTCGTTAACAATGGTGTCGGGGTGGCAAGATTAGGGTGAGAGATGACATAAGTTGTGTCGTCAGCAAAGAGAATGGGGTTCAGGTAAGGGGATACTTTTGGGAAGATCATTGATGTATATGAGGAAGAGCAGGGGACCAAGGACACTTCCCTGGGGAACTCCAGTATCAAGGGGCCTTGTTGTTGATGCTGTGTCTTTAATGGTGACATACTGATACCTATTAGTAAGGAAAAGATTTGAAATATGCAAGAGAAATGGCCTCTTTATACCATAATGGTCAAGTTTGTGGAGTAGGATGCCGTGGTCTACTGTGCCCAAAAGCTTTTTTTAGGTCAATAAAAATTCCTAGTGATATTCCTTATTTTCCAATGCTGTGTAAAGCAGATCTAGCATTTTTTATGATTGCATCATTAGTGCTTTTATTTTTCCTGAATCCAAATTGGCAGGGGTTGAGTATGTTTTGCGCCATTATAAATGAATATAGTCTCCTGTGCACGAGTTTCTCAAAGATTTTGGATAGCAATGGTAAGTTTGATATTGGCCTATAGTTGTTTAAATCTGTAGGGTCACCACCTTTATGTATTGGTGTAACCCTTGCCGTCTTGAGTAGTTTCGGGAAGGTGCTAGTTTCTAGTGACTTGTTAAAATGTTGTGTAGTTTTAAAAATAGGTTAGATAAATATAGGAGGGCCCCGCTTTACGGCGTTTCACTTTACGGCGTTCTGCTAATACGGTCATTTCAAATTATGACCAAAACTCGCTATACGGCTCCCCCCACCTGAATTTCTAATACGGTCACCGCACCACACCCTGTTTGTTTACATTCTCCGTGAGCTCAGTAAGCACTAAGTCTCTCCATTTTGTCTGGAAACTCCAAAATTTCAAATGTTTTTATAAGTTATTTCATATTTATATATACTCTGATAATTATACTTATGTATACCCTGTACCTAAATAAACTTACATACTGGCTGGCATGCAGGTACACATTAAAATCGGTAAGTGTCTTATGTCCTCCAGACGTCATATTAGTAATGATAATAATCATCGATCATTAAAAATGTCGTATATTACGTAATATACACATTTTCATTAATCCATCTATGATAATTTTTTTCAAAATTAATAATAAACACGATGCATAACATATAAATAAAATAAATACACCCCACAGTAGAATAAATAAACATAAATGTGAGATGTGGTAGCAGACGACTTGCACAAATGACGCCATATTAGAAATAATAATAATAATAACAATACTCACCGAGTCTCATTAAATGTCGTATATTACGTTAATATACACATTTTCATTAATCCATCCATGATATTTTTTTCAAAATTATATAATAAACACGATACATAACATAAAAAGATGATAAATACACCCCACAATAGAATAAATAAACATGCGGCGGCAGCAGCAGCGGCAGCAACGGTATCCTACCAGCTCTTCTTTCTCAAAAAAAATCGCCCATCAAAACTTGTGATGGCCTAAGTGAAAGTTCAACTACATGAACCCACGTAGACCACAACATGACCCAAGAATACTAAGAATGTAACCCAATTCTTGACAAAATTAGAAGATCTAAGGAAGACAGCCCTGCTAACCCAAACACTGCCTCCGCTGCCAGACAACCACTTAACCCAAGCTCCGAGAAAACAAGCCTTCTCCTCCATTGCTACACAGTATCTACTTCAGTGATACTATGAAAGGATATCGCGAAGACACAACACCAGTAATAAAAGAATAACACAAGGACCCTAGAACTAAAACTTGTCTACCCAGCAGGACGCCAGTGTATCATCAACCCCCCTCAACCGACGCCCCCCCAGGAACAACAAAAACAACAACAAACATGGCTGACTCCCCCCTCCAACTCCACTCCCTTAAAGGATTCATCCATGATAACTCAGGTACGATTATTCCTGACAATATCAAGGATTTACATCGTTGCTCTAGAAAATGAAATCAAAGATATCAAAGCAGCACTCAAGCGACGAGATTCCAAGATAACCCAAACCTCGAGAATAAGATCCAAAACCTTGAAGAGAAGATTACATCGGGAGTGTTGACACAGAAAATACTCTAAAAAGCAGCTATAGCCAGTCAAAACTGAGCAAATAACAACAATAAATATGAAGGTTGAAGAAGCAATCAAGGACTGAATCAGAAAAAGCAACACTCGACTAAATGAATACCTTTATTTCCAAGACGACAAAACTGAACAAGATAAGTTGTCTGATGCAGTTATAATAAAAAGTCCACACATTCCTAGTGACATAACACAAGCTCAGTGCAAAGAAACTGCTGTCAGGATAATACAGGACCACGTACAAGTCATCGTGCAAAACAATGAAATCAAAGAAAAACGTTGTTAGGAAAAAACCCGGAAATAAACACAGTATAATGATCCGACTTCATTCATATGATAAAAGAAAGGACCTAATTAAATCAGCAATTACAATGAAAAATGGAGTGTACTAAATGAGTGTCCCAACAAAAAAAACGTCCCAAAAACCTTTTGTTCAGGCTGAGAAAAAATTAAACAGGGAAAAAAAAATACATCAGTGTTTCACGCGAGATGGGAAAATACTAAATAAGGAAAACAAACAACAGACAACAATAACCATCTCAAACGAACATGATTTCTCTACCTTTCCTTAGAAAAGCTGACATTTCTGTAACAGATTAATAAGTGCCCTTAATACATATATACGTGTGGTGCATATAGTGTACGTTACTATTATATTGTACATTATTATTTTTATTATTTTTCTTTATTTTTTTTTTTTTATTATCACACCGGCCGATTCCCACCAAGGCAGGGTGGCCCGAAAAAGAAAAACTTTCACCATCATTCACTCCATCACTGTCTTGCCAGAAGGGTGCTTTACACTACAGTTTTTAAACTGCAACATTAACACCCCTCCTTCAGAGTGCAGGCACTGTACTTCCCATCTCCAGGACTCAAGTCCGGCCTGCCGGTTTCCCTGAATCCCTTCATAAATGTTACTTTGCTCACACTCCAACAGCACGTCAAGTATTAAAAACCATTTGTCTCCATTCACTCCTATCAAACACGCTCACGCATATAGTGTACGTTACTATTATATTGTACATTATTATTTTTATTATTTTTCATCACTAGCTAATGCCAACTACCTCCAATATTCTATAACTTTCTTACTGCTATTAATTGCTCATAATTTTAAATTAAAAGTCAAATCTTACTCCAAATTAATAATATTCATTTTTTCTTACCTGTCCATTTAATTTTGTTTATCACTACTTGTTTTTTTAGTCACTTTA